ATAATTTTTTAGGATTTGGTAATAGCATATCTCAGTGAAGGAGTCATTTTCGACCCTATAAATCATATATATTCTTGATCAGCATCAACAACTGAATCGATATAGCGTTGGTCGTGAGGAAAAAATATATTACTACATTTTTGAACATTTTTTAAGGGGTTATATTATTGAAATTGCACATTTATTAACCCTATAAAACCGCAGAACAGAACTTAGTTTTAAAAATTTTACATTTATTTATGTATTAAATAAGAATAAGGCTCTTGAAAATCTCGTTTCTTTGGTAAAACTTGTTGTGGCCCTGAAAAGGGCCTTTTTAATGTTCCTCCGCATCTGCGAGAAAATTTACTTGGAGCTGGTGTACTTGGTGACAGCCTTGGTTCCCTCACTGACGGCGTGCTTAGCCAACTCTCCGGGCAGGAGCAGGCGAACAGCAGTTTGGATTTCCCGACTGGTGATGGTAGAGCGCTTGTTGTAGTGCGCCAGACGAGAAGCCTCGGCAGCAATACGCTCGAAGATGTCATTCACAAAGCTGTTCATGATGCTCATCGCTTTCGAGGAAATGCCAGTGTCGGGATGGACCTGCTTCAGGACCTTGTAAATGTAGATAGCATAGCTCTCCTTCCTCTTCCGCTTCTTCTTCTTGTCGTTCTTGGTGATGTTCTTCTGGGCCTTGCCAGCCTTCTTGGCTGCCTTTCCACTAGTTTTAGGCGGCATTATTTCACTTCACTTCACTGCACGATTCACTGATCATAGCAGCAGTTCAGTTTTCAAAATTCCATTTATTTGTCAGTTGATTTAAAGTATACATTTTGTACTTCTTAGTCTAATGTGTAATAATTAGTGGAACTAATTCTAATATTACTGTTTTTCATGATTTGCAGCTTTTGTCATACGCTTATTGCTTTTCATGACGCTAGATTTTACATTGGCTTATTTGCTATTTGTTGCTTTATATTGATTTTGTTTCTTAATTAGTTTTATAATTTTTTTTTTATAATTCTGGGAAAAAATTTTTTCAAGTAAAAACCCAGCTTAATTTATGTTTTATAGACAGAATGTTTTGAGGGGGGGGGGGGGGGAAGGGGTGGGCTATATTTACAAGGGGAGTGGAATATTTACAGGGGGGGTTTACATCACTGGTATATTAAACCGTCTCTTTGGATTTACTGAATTGTTTTTTCTATAGTAAAATATTAAATTTTTGTTTGTATCATAAATGATGTTTTTTGTTTTTAAGTTTTCTACGTGATTTAGTGTAATCAGTTCAATGGGGTAATCATTTGGAATGTTAATGCATTTAAGCTTTACTTATTTATTTAGTGTCATATTGAATATAAAATCGAGTGTTATCCGATTTTGTCTTCTTCGTTACTTGCATTAGGATAATTTATTAGTGTCTTTTGCATTATTTTTATGCAAGTGACAAGGTCTTTGCCATATGTCTTGATGGTGTCATTGTTAATAGTTTCTATAGTAATTTGTTGAGGACTGTCGAATGAATGATTATGTAGGTTAGTGTTATTCTCACTATTTTGGAATAGTGAAGATAATGTTTTGTTAGGGACTACCCTATTGAACTGTGCGTTTTTTTAAATATTTTGATTTGTTTTGTGTTCACTTAGGTTTCTTTTTTGTGAAATTTTTTCAATAAGATTTATTCTAATGGGGCATATTTTCGCGTTTGCAGTGTGCTCTCCTTTACAGTTAACACATTGGGGCTTTGTATTTTGTGGTTCAGTACTGTTGTTATCAGGTTTTTTAAGGTCGCAGTTGCCTCGACCATGAGGCTTTAGACATTTGATGCATCTATAAGGCATATTGCAGATGCTAGCTACGTGTGAGAATCTTTGGCATCTTTTATGTCTGATATGATTCGGGTGAGGCTTAAAGCCTTCTATGGTTACCTTACAATTAAGAAGATACTTTATTTTGAATATGTTTTTAATATTTGGCGATTTTTTTATTGTAATCTGCCAGTATTTTTCTTTGTAGGGGCTTATTGAGATTATTTGTAACTCAGGTAAGATATCATTAAGGGCTGCTTCAATTTCGTTTTTATCAAAGATTTCTGGGGGATTTTCTTAATAATTATGTTATGTGGTTTTAACTGTTTTGGTGTGTATGTGAAGAAAAGAAAATTTTCTTTTGAGAAGAGGGCTTTTGCTAGATTCAGATTTTCAATAGTATATACTTTAATGTGTATTATGTTCTTATTAATTATGTTAACAGTGTACTTAAATGGTAGCAAATTTCTAATCTTACGTATATTGACATTATAGATGACAATTACCGGTAGGTTGTTTAAAGTTGCTTCAGATTCTGCTGCTTCTGCTGCTGTTGTTGTTGTTGTTGTTGTTGCTGTTGTTGATGTTGTCATCTGTGGGTGTGAAGTCTTCTTAGTTGTTTTGTTGTTTGTTGTCATCTGGGGTTTCAGGCTTATTGGTTTTAGAGCTGGGAATTCACATTCGTCGAGCTCTGCTAGTGGCTGGTAGTAATTTGTTTTGCTGATGGTGTTTTTGTTGTTATTGGTATTATTTTTGTTGTTGCTATTGATATTTTTGTTGTTGGTGCTGTTGCTGTTGTTATTTTTGTCAATATTGATCTTACTGTTGTTTTTGTTGATGGTTAGAATTTCATTTTTTAGGGATAATATTTATTTTTGATATTGTTCGTTGATTGTTTTTATTCTGCAAAATTCATTCATTAAGATTTTGAATTGTTCACCTTTATCCTGGTCTTCTTCTTCCTCACTGGTAGTAGAGTCGTAATCGTCATCGCTGTTGTCATCTGATGATGTCTGGTAGTGTCGCTTGTTACTTTGAGTATCGACCTCCATCTCATATATTTGGTCACAGTTCGTTGGATCTTCTTTTAGTATTTGAGATCGTTTTTTAGGATTAGATTCCATATTTTTTATTTCTGTTCGCCTCTTTCCAAGTTTTGTTTCATTAGATTGAGTTGTAGTAGTAGACTTTTTAGTTGCTGCTGCTGCTGTATTTGCTGTTGCTGTTGTAGATGCTGTTGCTGCTGTAGTTGCTGTTGTTGTTGTTGCTGCTGTTCTTGTTGTCGCTGTTGCTGTAGTTGTTGCTGTTCTTGTTGTTGGTGTTGCTGTAGTTGCTGCTGTTCTTGTTGTTGGTGTTGCTGTGTTTGCAGTTCTTGTTGTTGCTGTTGCTGTAGCTGTAGTTGTTGCTGTGTTTGTAGTTGTTGTGGTTGTTGTGATTGCTTTTGTTGCTGTGGTTGCTTTATTTGCTGTTGCTGTGGTTGGTTTTGTTGTTGTTGCTGTAGCTGTTGTGATTGCTGTTGCTGTGGTTGCTGTTGTAGTTGCTGCTGCTGTTGTGCTTGCTGTTTTTGTTGTATTCTTTGTATGTTCTCTACTTTTAGTATTGTTATTGGTTGAACACTTTGTATTTCTTGTTGCTGATTCACTATTTGCACAGTTGAGGTTTTTATTGTTTCTTTATTATTATTTTCTTCCCGTTGTTGTTGTTCATTAGCATCTAATGTTTGCTCTGATACTGTTTTAATTCTGGTTATTAATTGCTCATTGGCTTTATTATTATTTGCTTCCGCTTTCTTCACTATTGTTTCTTCTTCTTCACTAGCTACTTCTAGCTGATCATTGCGCTTCACCATTGTCTCACTTCCTATTTTTGCCCTGCGAGCTGCCGCCGCACATGCAGCCACATGCCTCGCAGCGCCTTTATACTTCACTTCTTCCGTCTCACTCACTGTTTCTCTACTCTTCTTTACTTCTGTCTCTGTCAGGCTCCTCTCCACTTTTCCACTTTTCCACTTTTTCACTATTTACCACTTTTTATACCCTTGCAGGGTATTATAATTTCAGTCAGAAGTTTGCAACGCAGTGAAGGAGGCACCTCCGACTATATAAAGTATATATATTCTTGATCAGGATCAACAGCCGAGTCGATCTAGCCATGTCCGTCTGTCCGTCTGTCCGTTTCTACGCAAACTAGTCTCTCATTTTTGAAGCTATCTGAATGAAACTTTGCAGTTAGTCTTCTATATACTCTCACTCGTATATATGTCGGAACGGGCCGGATCGGACGACTATATCATATAGCTGTCATAGGAATGATCGGAAAAGTTTTACAAAAAAAATTATAAAATTTTTAGTTTTCAACAGAATTTGATCAAATTTGAGATATAGCCATTTCATATTATTCTACAATTTTGTGTAAAATTTTATGAAAATCGGACGGCTATATCATATAGCTCCCATAGGAACGATCGAGAAATTAATTCAATTAATAAGTATAACATTTTCAGTTTTCAACAGATTTTCATCAAATTTGAGATATAGCCGTTTCATATTATTCTACAATTTTGTGTAAAATTTTATGAAAATCGGACTAATATATCATATAGCTCCCATAGGAACGATCGAGAAATTTGAGAGGAATGAGAATGGCGGTGGCTGTTGTCGGAAGACTGAAAATCGCGGTGGCGATAACATTTTTAGTTTTCAACAGAATTTAATCAAATTTGAAATATAGCCATTTCATATTATTCTAAAATTTTGTGTAAAATTTTATGAAAATCGGATTACTATATCATATAGCTCCCATAGGAACGATCGAGAAATTAATACAATTAAATTTATAACTTTTTTAGTTTTCAGCTGATTTTCATCAAATTTAAGGTATAGGTATTTTATATTAGTCTTAAATTTTGTGTCAAATTTTATGAAAATCGGACGACTATATCTTATAGGTGCCATACGAACGATCGTTGGATGTAGAGGAAAAATGCAAATCTGTGAATGTATAACTGCAAATATAATATGTATAGGTGAATGAAATGAAAGCAGGTATTACTTCATTGTTTTTTAACACAAATATATCTAATTTATATTGTATGGATTCCTATTCATAGAAGTTCTATCTGCAAGGGTATATAAACTTCGGCGTGCCGAAGTTAGCTTCCTTTCTTGTTCACTTTTAACTTTTAACTTTCGCCGAGCGCGTTGGTGCCGGCGCTCCAGTTTACCTGGCTGCCGTGATGGAATATCTGGCCGCTGAGGTTCTCGAGTTGGCTGGCAATGCTGCTCGTGACAACAAGAAGACTAGGATCATCCCGCGTCATCTGCAGCTGGCCATCCGCAACGACGAAGAGTTGAACAAGCTGCTCTCTGGCGTCACCATTGCCCAGGGAGGTGTCTTGCCCAACATCCAGGCTGTCCTGTTGCCCAAGAAGACCGAGAAGAAGGCTTAAGCGTTTTAACAGCGTGCCAAGTCAAACTTGTACATAGAAACACAAACTCAAACCCAAACGTCCTTTTCAGGACGACCAAACCAGTAAGTTTATCAAATATACATTAAATTCTATACCTATTAATATCATTGTTATTCTTATACATTCATGATACATACTTTCAATAAAAACAACCGCTGACTTTCTTTTATGATAAAAGATATTGAAAACATTTTAGAGTTTGCTTGATTGCAAAGAGTATAAAACTATATATGAACATAGTCTTTGATGATGATAATTTGTAGCTTAATTATATATTCTACATTTTCCAAATACTAGGTCCTATTGGCTTGAACTTTGCTGTAAATGTTTGAAAAATCAAATGAACACAATACCAGTTGGCGAACATGCAGTTGAGTTGGCAGTCTTATTTTTTCGCTGAGCCAAACAATTTTCAAATCGGATTCAGCGCATTTTTTCGCACTTGCTTAGTTTTTTGTGGGCTCTCCATTTGGTCGGTTTGCATTTTGGCACTTGGCTGGAAAAGAACTCAGACGAAAAAAAAGGGAAAACACAAAATGGAAACCTATAAAGAGATACGTTTCAGAGTAAATGGTATCGAAGGGGTTCTTTACCAATAAGCTTTAATAAGAAGGAGGTTTAGGTAAACAGTATATGTATATAGGATTCCAAGAAATCAAGCAAGGGAATAATAATAATAATAATAATAATATAATAATAATGTTGTTATAAGAACTAAACAGTTTAGAAGATGCTTTAAAGGTATCATATTAAATTCTTCTTTTAACTACATTTAAGCCTCTTGTTACTGAGTTTAGTAATTTTATTTTTAATCAAGTTAATTTTTATATTTTATTACTATTTCCCGGAAAACTGCCATGCCCTTGCCTTATATATTAGTCACTTGCTGAAGGGTTTAGGAAATCTATCCTATATTGAACCACAACTGATACATCTAGAACTAATCACAAATTAGGGCTGTATTGACCAAAAATTAAAACCGTACTGATGGGGTAGCCAAAGGTTAATGAAAAGAAATTAGACCACCTAGACATGGAGGAGCAGAATGTTGACAATTGAGGTAGCAAGTGCGCCAGACAACCACTCACTGGCCAAAAAACCACTAATGAAACCACATGACACCGCAACAGCAACAACACATTGGCAACACAAAGTGATACACAGCAAAAATGGTAAAGGCGACCAACTAATTGAAAATGCGGACCAGGACATGCGAATTGGGGTCAGCTGGACTGAGTGTTGCAAATTCCTGTCCGAGGATATTTTGTGCACATTGCTCATGTGACCCCGGGTCCTCGACCTGTGGGTGGGTGGGGATTTATTTGTTGCGCTTAAAATCGTTTAGTTTTAATTAAAATTGCAAAAATTTTCTGTGTGATTTGTGGCCTATTGTCCAATGACAATTTGTTTTTAGTCAACTTAGGTGTATCTTTTAATTTGTACGATAGTTTGGCCATTATCCAGGCCTTTTTATGGGTCATAATTCGTTGCAATTACTCCTAAATATGGTTGGGTAAATGTAATTAAATGTGATTTATAGTCACAATACAGAAGACATCATAAGACAGTTTTATTTTGTTTCAAATAAGTGTAGGGTTTATGATCTGGGAACATTTTAATTATAAATAATATAAGTAATTCCCTGTATAAACGGAAAGCTATCTGACTGTTAAAATTTTTTTTATAAATACCTTGAAAAGTTGTATCCATTTAGGCCTACACATTTTATATTTGTTAACATTATTATATAATTAATTTCCATGTTTATTTCCCCCGACACTTTTTGTGGTAAAAATTCATCCGCGAACTATGAGCTCAATGTCTGTGCAAAATATAACTAAAACAAAAGCTTATTACCCACAAGACGGCAATTCCGGCTGAAGGCACCCAAAATATACATATGAGTATACATTTTGGTTGGAATATTCTCGTAAAACACCAAAGTGCACTTAAAGAGAGCGGCTTGAGGCAATTTCAATTTACTTACATCCAGACGAATGAGTCCGGCCAGGGCGCGGATGAGTCTTCCGGCACATGGCATATATGAAAGATAATTTTAATCTGGGCAAAAGAACAGAGCTCGGAAGTTAACAATAGATTGTCATGGCGATGTGAAACCAGTGGAGGAGGAGGAGTGCATGGGCCTGAGAGGCATTATGGAAATTTACATTTTTTGATTGGACCACATCGGTATGGGCATGTGGCAATTTCCTTATTTGAATTGTTCCCGCCACACTCTGACGAACGATTTTTATTGAAATCTGCACATGGCCGTCCGACAGTCGCTTCAAGGGAAGCAGTAAAAATATTTCGAAAATTAAATACCATAACAACGGGTATCGTCGAAACAAAGGACTTAACGGCGAGGCATCAGGCTAACGAATCGCCGATTGGTTTTCGCCCATTTTACATGACGTATCGTCATCATTATGGATTTTTCCATAGAGCATTGTAGCATTGCCGGTATATTCATTTATTTGCACTCGAAGTTTTAATAACAATCGGTCATTGTTTGGCTTTCTCTGGTATTTTTCATAGTTATTTTTGCTTTGTCTCTCTCTCTCAGGTATACTTCATGGGGCTTCCAGGTATTTTTTTGTGGCTTTTTGCACTGTCGTTGATTTTAAATACAAAAAATATAAGAAGTTAGGGAAGCTGAAGTTTGTACACCCTTCCTGTTTGATCAGAGAATGATCATAATTAAGCCAAAACACAAATATTTTAATTATAACTAATTTTAAGAATAATTTCCAGTACCACAACTAAGCCATTTAATTCGGAAAGCTGTTATGTGTTAGTTTTTATAAGGTTAACAAATCTGCATATTCAATTTTTTGATACATTTTGTAAGTTTTAACGATGTAACTCTTTTAAAATTTTGGGAAATTTTCGAAAACTTTGAAAAAAATTTTGATCGGACATAGCAAGATCGATTCGGCTGTTCATGCTAATCCAGAATATATAGGCTTTATATGGTCGGAAATAATTCCTTCACAGCCTTTCAAGCTTCCGAAAGAAATTGTAATACCCTGCAAGGGTTTAAAAAATAAATGTATTTGTCATTTATATATATTTACGTAGTAAATAAGACAGGTTTAAATTAAAATCCATTTCATTTTGCCATCAAGATGCGTTCAATTAACTATGGATTTTTTCCAGGCATTCATTTCTTGCCAATTATTTGAAGGGGGTCTCAATTTCCCTTGAATGAAACTTTGGCTGCACTTTGCCTGATTGCAGTCATCATTTTTCGGGTTGCTTTCGCCTCATTGAGATTTTCCACATAATTGGTGATTTAAAAACCAAATGAAGGGTTCTTAACTCTCCTCTCGACTGATGGCAGGGACGAGTGTCAAGCGGCTGTGTTCCATTGGTCGATGATTGTCATTCAGGGGAATATTTTCCGGCAATTTAAAAGGGGTATATCTTTATAGTATTTTTAAGTAGATAACGAATGCCTTATAAAATATATGTGTGCAAAAAATAAAGAGTATTTTTGATTTGTTTTATATTAATCCTAATTTATATTAGAAATTAAAATTTATAGACATTAACAAACCCTTTAAAAGCGGCTTCTCGGAACTGTCAGCGTAGCACATTTTTTATGGTCCTCGTCGTTTAACAAGTTTGCACCTAAGCCCAGCCACAATTTCTTAGCAGCGGCCCAACAGAATCCTCGCTGTTTCTGGCCCAGCAGGTGAATAATATTTCTCCCACAAGTGCGCATAAAGTAGGAATAAACTGACCGTACTTACAGCCCCATAAATTTCTGGCTATCAACACTCCGGGCCATCGGGCCACCAGGGTACACCTTTAGGGGGTGCACGGACAGGTGAGCAGGATAAGCAAAACTGGGTCGAAGCAGCGATGGGAAAAAACATAGAAATAGAAATAGGAACCCTTGCAGGCACAAATATTATTACAGAGGTGCCTTCGCTCTTTGATGGCGTGGAAATTGTGGAATTGCATTGGGGAATTATCAGGGCAAAAGAGCGCCGTAATGTTCATGGATATTTATGACATCTCCGGTTGCAATGCATTTTCAAGCAGCAATATACACAGAGAAAGGCAAAACATAAAATCCTTTGCCAACTATTAAAGTATTTTGCCAAATCCTGGCCATAAAAAGAAACGCGTTCCGATGCGAAATGTTAAACATTCTCAGCCGTGTGATCCCTTAAGACGTCTCACAAAAAGAGAAAAACAGAGCTGGCGATTAGGGCCAGGACCATTGTCTTACCAAGGTCCTTGGAGGGTGCAGACAAAGTATTATATACACAACTCACATGGCAACCCGCTGGGTTGGTTTTCCAGAAATGACTATTAGCATATTCCCGCCATGCGGCAGCCACTTAATGATGCAGAAATGTAACCAAGTCGAAATCTGGCCAAAATCCGGGCTGCCTGCTCTCAAGTCATTGATTGTGCCAGTTCGAGTTTGAGATTTTCTTCAACATGCACAGGGAGAAATTGTATTTTAATATAAAATGAAAGTGTTTTTAAATTATTTTCTTAATATGCATTCAGATGATTAATTTTCCTAGCAGTTTCTTGAATTTTTTTGAATTGGAAATGATCTTTAAAGCTTTGTTGACATTTAAGTATTTTGTTCTGGATAGTATATTGATGCATATTTTTTCTGTTCCGAAAAAGTTGCAATTTCGTGACTGCGATTTTCACTTGACGAATGCGCATGGACATATTGAACCCCGGTTATATTTACCAATTTATTCATGTCAGAAACGTGAACGGAAACTACAAACTACTGGCAGCTTTAGCTGGCAGACATTTCTCATGCAGAGATTTCATCTGTTTCGGTTACTGCGCTACGTTTCTGTTTTTGTTATGCTTTCATTACAACATAGCAGAAACCAGGACTCACCAGTACTCACCAGGACTCTCCAGGATTCCGTGTGCTCGAGATATGAGTGTGTGCACATCAATTTCCCCATTCACTATGCTCACTCAGCCGGAAAGGGGGGAGCGCCAAATGTGGGTTGGGAAAATAAACTGAATCTCAATGAGGAAAACCCCATTCAAATTCGGAAA